CTGCCCAGTTGTCCCATTTCAACTTTCATGTTTCATGTATTCTATTATTATCTTCCCCACTTGATTTTCTTAAGACATCTTTTTCTCACTCATGATCTCCTTGGTTTTAAAAATGTTTCTATTAGCTTAAATTATACATAACAATGGATTTCATACTGACATTTTCATATTTGTACATAATATATTTTGCTCACATTCACCATTATGCTCTTCTGTCCCCCTCTCACTCTTTTAATCTTTTTCCTATTCCAAACTAGCTCCCCTTCCACTTTCATATCCTTTTTGCATGTGTTTGCAACCCAGTGAGCTTCATTAGGGTTGTTTACAGGGACATCGGTGAGAGTTTGTTTTCAAGTGCATAGATACCTTACCAGTGAATAAAATGTCTCTCCCTTCCCTGTCAAAAAACATTAACTGCATATAAATCCTCAGGGAGGGTTGCAGTCATGCTCCCCTTTCTAGTGTCATGACCTATACACCACAGTCCCACATAAGTTTTATTTCTTCTTTTCAGAACTATTTATTTACCAATTTATTGATTTATGTTTCTGGTAACTTTTAGAGTTTTTAAAAATAAATTCTAAATATTAATCTTCTGTCAGATGTATAGCTGGCACAATTTTTTCTCCCATTCTGTAGACTGAGTTTTTCCTTTGTTTTGCAAAAGTTTTTAATTTCATGTAATCTCCTTTGTGATTATTTCCTGGGCTACTTGAATCCCTTTAAGAATGTTCTTGCCTCTGCCTATATCTTTAAAAAACATAGAACAATAAATACCTTTATGTCCTGAGCTATAGTGACAACTTACTTGCCTTCTGGGGCTTTGAACCCTAACAAGCTATGTTCAGCCACCAGTCCTCAGTAGGCCAAATAAACAAGTAATAGTGAAAAACAGAGAAAAGAGATTTCTTCAATGTGGTCATATTGGGAAGAGGATCAAATAAAATGACTGGCTGGCTGGGCATGGTGGCACACACCTTTAATCCCAGGGGGCAGAAGCAGGCAGATCTCTGCAAGTTCAAGTCCAGCCTGGTATACATAGCGAGTTCTGGGACAGTCAGAGCTACATAGTGAGACCCTGTTTGTTTGTTTGTTAATTTTATTATTTTTATTTTCTGTGTACGAGTGTATCGCCTGCATGTATGTGAGGGCACCTATGTCATGCAATGCCACGGAGGTCAGAAGAGGGCTTCAGATTCCCCTGGAACTGGACTTAAGGACGGTTCGTAGTCGCCATGTGGGTGCTGGGAATTGAACACGGCTCCTCTAGTCAGTGCTCTTAACCGCTGAGCCATCTCTCCAGCCCCTGTTGTTTTTAAAACTATCTATTTATCCAGTTTTTGGTGTACTAACATGAGGTTTAGGTTTAAAGAGAGGACAAAAGGAATGCAGAGCTAAGAAGTCCTGGACAATATGTAGTACCACCCATCACTGACTCATCTTCGTTGTCTCAGCTCCAGTCTCTCAGCAAGGTGGCTGATAGATTCTCAGCGCTATGTAAAATCTCTTCCTGGGAGACGAGTTCCTCCTCAGACTGGCACCAGATTTCAACCCTGTCCTTCTCTCAGTATGAGATTCCTGGACAAATTCCACTTCCTTTGGATCCAACAGTCTGATAGCCAAAGTGAAAGACACAAGTGTCTCTCCTTAGAATACCTTTGCTCCTGTCAGGACCATTATGGAGGAATTCCATTCCACCACAGTAAACAACAGGAGGTGAGGTTTCAATATCATGTGATGGCCATAACCTAGCTTTTATAGGAAAATAATAAGAATACATATGTCTGTGTTTGTATAAAAGCAGATTTGGAAGAATATATACTAAATAGAACTACAAGGGACTGCAGATCTTTCACATTTACTTTTTCCTCTTCTGTGACTGAAAGTCATTTATTTTTAATATAATATGTATTATAGAAATTATATTAAAATAAATTTTAATTTAATTTTTAATTTTTTTAGAATATCTTACATGAGTACCACCATATTTATAAAATTCCCATCCCTCCTTTTTCCTCTCTAATTCCTCCCATGTCCTTTACTTCCTCTCGAATTCAAGACCTCTTTTTTAATTATAATTGTTGCATACACACATACACAAACACACAGACACAGACATACACACACACACACACACACACACACACACACACCAACTAACATATATGCAACCTACTGAATCCATTTAGTATTGCTCCTATATACATGTGTTTGGAGCTGACCACTTGAGATTGAATAACCTATCAGAGGGCTCATCCCTGAAGAAAACTGATTTTCTCTCTCTCAGTAACTATTGATTACCTGTAGCTCTTCGTGTAGAGACTGAGCCTTGTGAAATTTCTCTCTTCATGTACAGACTGAGCCTTGTAAAATTTTTCCTCTCTCCATTGGCATGTCGACTGATGTCATTATGCCAAGTCTTGTTTAGGCACTCATATTACTGGAATTTCATGGATGCAGCTTCCTTGTCATGCCTAGAAGCAGCAAGTGCCTTTGTTTTCTGGCACTTACCATCTTTCTGTCTCCTCTTCTGAGAGACTCCCTGAACCTTAGGTGTAGAGGCTGTGCTGTGGATGTATGAGAATTGGGGCTGGGAAACCAATGGTCACTTATTATCTGCATGTTGACCAGTTGTGGATTGCTGTAGTAGTTTATGTGCTACAAAAAGAAGCTTCCTTGATGAGTGGTGAGAGGTACACTTATCTATGGGTATAAGGAGAAATTTTTAGGATGCAGTTAAAAATTATATTGGTTTAGGAAAATGACAATGATAAGTTTTTTTCTATGGTCTATTTCCTCTCTAGCCATGGGAAGTTGGCTAAGTTTACAGTACAAGGTACGAGTTCCTTCTTATTGAGAGGGTTTTAAGTCCAATAAGACAGCTGTTGGCAACTCCCAAGATAAAACTGCTACTACTGCACTATTGAGGCTATCTTGCTGGGCTAGTCACTGTCATGGTTGCAGGCTATACAGCTAGGTAGTACTATTAATTGCTCTTCTCCCTTCCATAGCACCTTCCAATACTATGAATTCTAGTCCTCAAAAAAAGAAATTATTTTTAAAAGGACAAATAATAAAAAGTTAGCAATTTATTAAAAAATTGAGAAAATTTCTCCCCAATTTTTCTTCCATTCAATCTCTTGCCTAGCCTTTAGACTAATATACCTCCTTAGCTTCCCAGCTTCCATCTTCCAATATTTGAAACACTAATAGAATTTTCAGGTCACCATTAAACGTATTTCCCAAACATCACCACTGTATGCTGAAGAAACTGGGAATCAATAGATTTCACATAAAGAGGAACTGAGAGTCTTTCCAGTTGTGGCTGCTATTTCCAGAAAGTAGGAAAGTACCCAAGTACCTATAATCAAATGTGTCAGTCATATTTCAAGTCAGGGGTGGAAGAAGGTAGACTGTTCTCCAGTGAGGTGGCAGTTCAGGTAGGAAGTTATTGTGGGGTTTATGATAGTGGTGGTAAGGAAAATGGAAAGAAGTAGATCAATGCAAGAAATATTTTGGAGGAAGAATGGTGGGGCATGCTGACAAGATGAAGGAAAGTTCGTAGATAACATGCATCTTAAGGTTATGATTGGAGCTGGGGGTGTCATTCAGGCCCTGGGTTGATCTCCAGCATCTAAAAGAGCCTTGATTGAACAACTGGTCAATTATGGTGACATTTTCTGAAAGAGAAGAAACTAAAAGGGAAATAAAGGAGGAACAAATATATTCTTTTTTTAGAAGTGGTCTTTGTGAATTTCATATAATGTATTTTGATCATATTCTCCTCCACTCCTCTCCCTATCTCTTTCTAGATCCATCTCATCTCCCTACCCTCACCCCAACATCATGTTCTCTCTTTTAAAATAATGCATGGACTCTCGTTTGTGCTGCTCATATACTCCTGGGATTGGAGCCATCCACTGGAGTATGGTCAGCCTACCAAAAGCCACACTATTAAAGAAAATGGACTCTCTCATTCCCAGAAACCATCAGCTTATCCATAGCTCCTCCATTAGGGGTGAGTGTTAGATTTTGGAATGCTGAAAAAGGAAGGAGTTTAAAATTTAGAAATGAGTCAGAGCCAAACCTGCAACAGGCAAGAAATATGTTGCTCTATTCAAGGAGCAGAGGAAAGGCTAATAAGCTCTTATGTGTGGAATGAGTATCTGCAAAGAAAGGGAGAGCAGTCTGGACTTATATAGAACTCTGCTGCACACAGCTTCAAGAGTTAACTCCTTTGCCAAGGTATGGTGTCCTTAAGGATCTCTTCTCTCAAAATTATTTTCTCAGGCAGTTGGGTGAATTATCTATAGCACTAAATTAGGAGATGGGTGGGCTCCATGAACAGTCCCTCTCAATCCAGAGAGTGACCAGTTGATAAGGCTTGAGCAAGGCCAGGCTGCCAATTTAGGGCCAGTTAGATGCTTTAAGGGATTTAGAGCTTTCCCTACTAAGACTTGTGGCTCTTCTACAATTCACACATTCTATCAGTGAGGGCTTGTGAAACCCTTCCCATTTTTTTTTTAAGAATTCATTCTGTTTTGAGGATGTGTTCTGTTAATTTGCCTATTTTAATTTCAAGTGGGTGTTTGGTATAGATAGTGATTTAAATAAGTCTGGCGATCATAGAATAGATCAGAGTAGAACATGTAAATTTGGAAAATGGTGTGAGATGCCCAGGTGTTATGGAGCAATTTCCACTGAGATAAAACCTTCCATTTGGACGGAAGCAAGGGAGGTAAGCAACAAGATGTCTGAAAGAAGGTAAGCAATAGAATGTCTGAGGGGAGGTTAAACAGCAGCTGTTCTAAGGGAAGGTAAACAGCAGGAAATTTTGAGGGTACTTAAACATTCCATCCTGCAGGGAAACTCATTAAGCTCAGGAAATAACTCAATAGCATCAGGAAGTTTCTGAAATTCACCAGATTCACTACTTTCTTCAAGAGAAAGTCTTGGGGAAGTCTATATAAACCCTAATAACTGCTAACTGGTGATTTCAGACCATCCAAGCCAACTGGAAGAAGCAGAGAGAAGCTGAGCTGTCTAGAAGAAACTGAAACCAGCTGAACTGCCTGAAGAGGCTCAAACCAACTGAGCTACCTAGAGATGACACTCTCCAACCTGTTAGCTGCAGGCAGGTTGTGCAATGTGCTCCAGGTTTCCTGCTTTCATGAGCTGTCACCCATGCAGGCTTGGGCTTTGTTGATGCTGTTTCTGCCTTTGGATCATTTCTGCTCCTGTAAGTAACCCCAATAAAACTCAATGGTTCACCAAGTTGGATTTGGTGCTATCCTTGTTTCTGCCTGCTGTTGCTTCCCTATCTGGGTGAGTAGATATCTGTTCCTCCCCAGGAACACAATACAAGGGAATGAATACTAACATATATAGAATTGAATATTAGTGAAAAGTCTGCTTTTCATGCAAGTTTGTAGAATACATGAAATTCAAGCAGTACACAAAGGTAATTTTAAAGATGAAGTATATATACCTTGTGTAAAATGAAGAAAGATTGAAAATAAATGAGATTAATTTCCAATATAATTAAGACAGAAGAGAGGATGTAATAAGGAAGAAAAATTAGCGAAGGATAGAACAAGTGAAAGGAAAATTAATCAAAAAGCCAATTTTTACAGAAGAATTAATAAACATCTGAAAAACTGACCCCAAATAAAGACAAATGCATGGCTAAAAATATTTGTAAAATGGCCGGGTGTGGTGGCACATGCCTTTAATCCCAGCACTCAGGAGGCAGAGGCAGGCTGATCTCTGTGAGTTCGAGGCCAGCCTGGTCTCCACGGTGAATCCAGGACAGCTGGGGCTACAGGGAGATCCTGTCTCAAAAAGACCAAAAAAAATTTTTGTAAAATGGGAAGCCGGGTATGGTGGTACACTCATTTAGTCCCAGCACTCAGGAGGCAGAGGCAGGCAGATATCTGTGAGTTCAAGGCCAGCCTAGTCTACACAGCAAGTCCCAGGCCAGCTGGGGCTACAGGGAGACCCTATCTCAAAAACACCAAAGAAAATATTTGTAAAATGGAAGCTGTAGAGATGGCTCAGTGGTTAAGAACACTAGAAGTACTTGCAGAAGACTGGAGTTCAGTTCCCAGTACCCACATGGCAACTAACAATGATGTGCAATTCCAGTTCCAAGAGATCAGGTACCCTCATTTGGCCTCTGTGAGGGCATTGCATGACAAGGGTGCATTTACAGAAATGCAGGGAAAACACTCATATACGTAACATAAAAATAACAAAATATTTTAAAATCTGTAAATGTACTTAATGCCACTGAATTGTATACATAAAATAAAGTAGTGAATTATATATATACATATATATATGGCATCCCAATAAAATATGCAATTAAAGGGAGAAAACAACTAGTGTTGTCTAATAGTTTTTAAAATACTCCACCATTAAAAATGAAGCAAGGTTTTTAAAATATAATAGCTGGGCTTGGGGTGGCGCACGCCTTTAATCCCAGCACTCGGCAGGCAGAAGCAGGCAGATCTCTGTGAGTTAGAGGCCATCCTGGTCTACATAGCAAATCCAGGCTAGGGAGACCCTGTCTCAAAACAAAAAAAAAGGACTAAAAAAAATTGGGTTTGTTTTATGTATGGCCGGGCTGTCCCTGGTCTCCGGGTGAGTGCTCAGAGAACAGCCTCAGCTCACGGCTATAGTTAGTTTTTATAGACAAGTGCAGTGGTCAGAGTTTAATTTACAAAAACACATAATCATAATCCCTTATCTGAGCTTAAGTAAGCAAGCACATTAACAGAAGCATGTATTTGCAATTTAGCAGTTGCCTTTGTTCTTGATCAAGACATTCTATGATATTTGCAGTTATTTGGCTCCCTGGTATTGCACATTGTTTTCGGCTTCAAAGGTTTCAAAGGTTGCAAGGAAATAACAAGTACAAAATTCACCTTATGTTTAACTATTAACTTATTAAAAAATGGGAGGTCACTTTAAAATAGCATTCCTTTGGTTTAGTTAGGGACCCTCACCACTTCATAGTCTGCATGTATGTAGGTGCACCACATGCATACAATGCCAGTGGAGGCCAGAAGAGGGCGTTGGATCCCCTGGAACTGGAGTTACTGGTGGTTGTTAGCTGCCATGTGGGTCCTGGGAACTGAACCTATGTCCTCTGTAAGAGTAGTCAGTGCTCTTAACTCCTGAGACATCTCTCTGGCCCCATAAATATATCTTTGTTGTTTTGTTTTGTTTGCAACAGGATCTCTATCTGTAGTCTGTAGCCCCAGCTGTCCTGGAACTTACTATGTAGACAAGGCTGGCCTCAATCTCACAGAGGTTTGCCTGCCTCGGCCTCCCTAGTACTGGGATTAAAGACTTGCACCACCAAGCCCAGCATAAATAATTCTTAAAGCTATTCTGTGGATACATGGGATTTCATTATAAGCTTTTGGTAGTGTGTGTGTGTGTGTGTGTGTGTGTGTGTGTGTGTGTTTAAAATTCCGTGAAAAACAATTCCTACAAATCATTTGAAAACTTGAGTAATTTGGAAGATTTCTTAGAGGTGAATTGGCCCTTACATATTAAAGTCTCTAGTAGCTCAGAGATAAAGACTATCAAGGGCAACTTAGGAAATGAGGAGGAGCCCTGGATGTGAAACAGTGTTTTCTACGTAGGTCATGCCAAGGGCTGCATCTCTCTCAACTCTGCTTCCTGTGGAAAATAGTCCTTGGTCCAGCATCTTCACTTCTTTGAATATATTCTCAGGAAATACATCACATATGCAAGCCTGTATATGAATAAGAATAAGCCTGCTCTTCTCAATGGACTTGCTATGGAAAAAGGTACTGATCAGTTCGAAGGATGCGTCTTTAATAAATCATAGTGCTGGGCCAGTGAGGCAGCTCAGTGGGTAAAGGCACTCACCTCCAAGTCTGAACCCGAAGTTCAATCCCTACGACCCAGATGGTGTATGGATATACTCATTGAAGTTGTCTCTTGACCTCCACTTACACACTGTGGCTCACACACACAGCTATGATTTGAAAGTTTTCTCCAAAAGTTCATGTGTTAGAAATAATATCCACATTTATATGCAGTGGTATTTCCAGATGGAACCTTTAGTGTGTGTGTTTGTGTGTATGTTTTCATTCATGATGCCAAGCTCATCAGTTCTTCCCCATACCAGGCCTAGAAAACTAGAATTTCTCTTCTCCAAATTGGCTCATAGAAGCTCTGATCTTTCCCTGACATTTTGCCTTGGATCCTGTCATGAAGAAAATCTGTGATTACCTTTTACCCATAGTTTAAGACCCTCCTCATTCTAAAGATATACATGCTGTACAGAACAGCCAAGAAGATGCTGAATGAGACAGATCTTGCTGGGTTTCCTCAACAGGGTAGACTTGGTGATTCATCCCCAAAACACTAATTAAAGATACATGTAATAGTGAAAAATAGTTTTATTCAATAGCATCACATTGGGAAGAGGACCCAGATAAAGAAATCTAGTGATGCCCAGTCCATCTTCAGGGTACTAACATGAGCTTTACTTTAAAGAGAGAAACTTTGGGGCTAGGAGCAAGAGATGTGCATAAGTAAGCAGTGTTCTTCAAAGTGTGACCTACTTGATCAACACCTACTTCTTTTTCTGCGAGGTGGTCCGAAGAAGTCCTTATTGTTGGAAGGAATCAATGTGGTTGTCAGGAGTTGATTACTTCTGCACTGGCTGCAATGATAGATAATTGCCCTTTTATGGGGGAGGGTGTCCTTCCTTCCAGGCTTTGCTGTTTCTGAAATCCAAGGTGACTGCAGGTCAAGGACAATGACTTGTCTCTATGCCTTCAGCCTTAAAGAGGAATAAAAGAGGTTAGTCAAACACTTCTTGAGTCACTCATAAGGCAGAGATGCCAGGTTTTCTTCCCTTTTAGTATCTTCCCTTAGGGAAGGTGTATATTTTTTGAATAAAGGAAAATTCAGTGTCACACAAAATGAAATATAAATATACCAACTTTACATCGTTTTTGAAATAAAAATTCACACATTTCCAGATTTACAGAACAGAGAAAAGGATGAGGAAGGAGGACCAGAAGATGAGTTACAGAGTAGGATTTCAAATAGTGATCTGTAATGAATCTCCAAGTTAACTGCAGTGAAAAATAAGACAGTAGTGAGTATAGCACTTCTCTTTTTTGTAAATTTTTAATCGAATTTTGTGTATTTCATACAGAACAACCTAATCATCTTTATATCCCCTTCCCCATTAGCACTCTCCTCCCATACTCTCCACTGGCATTCATATATTTCTGTCATTTGTGTTAGGGACTTTCAAGCAAAGTTAGTATCCTCAGACGTCTCTCAGTGCAAATTCGTCCACTGGGATCTAGGCAGCTTATCTAGGGTCCCTCCTATTAAGAAGATCAGCTCTTCCTCACCAAACAGTAATCAGCTGCCAAAAATTTACCTACAGTCTGTGAGAAATTATGACTACGTAATCTGTAAATCAGGGGAACTCATCTAACAAAACAGAATAAGACTGAGAAAAAGTGAGCAGCAAAGGCAGAAAGTCCAATGATTTTATAATCTGGGATCAAGGATAAATTTGAGAGGGACAGGGAAGAAAAAAGTTATAAACCTGAAAAATGATTTGGGTCCCTGTGGCTTTGGTACTCTGACTAGCTCATATAGGAAAATGAAGAGGGACCCTCTTTGGCTACTGTGATAAGGAACTGACAGCTAGAAGCCCAGAATTGTCAGGGAGGGACACAAGGAATGGGACATTTGAATTTTTGGCCCCTAGTCAGTTCTCAGCTAAAGGGTTCCAGGCAGGCCTTCCCAGTCTCCTTCTGGCCTTGAGAGTTAAGACTGAGGCTTAAGGCCAAAGTGAAATGCTGAGAGCAGGGAGATGGTGACAGGCAGAACTGAGAAGACAGAGCTGCTTTCTTCCCTAAGAGATGAGTGTGGCTCTAGGGGAGGGGTACCAACTGATAATGTCAGGGGTAGGGATGGAACAGGACCAGAGGCCAAGGGCAGGCACAGTGGAGGCAGTGATTCTAGAGGAAGCTGTCCAAGGCAAGTGTAGCAGTCTAAAAAAAGGGCTGCAGGAGTTTTGCATAGCACCTGGCCTCTGCTCCTCCCTCAGGGCCTCAGCTGTGCTCCTTTGTCCCCATTGAGTGGACTGTGTAGCCTGCTGACATAGCTGGATTCCCAACAACAGACCACAAACTTATATTCCATGTGAAAGCTATGGCGCACACTTCTTACCAGGCTTCCTTTTGCTGCCAGCCCTTCAGACTGATCATTATGTCCTCTCCTCATTCCCTTCTCTACCTAGACAGCTTCTCTGCATGCCAGCTTCCACTGCTACACACAGAATCTTAACATTCGATTGCAGACCTTATTATCTTGATGGAGGGAATGCTTCAGATCCTTAGCTCAGTGTTCTTTTATTCTCCTACCAGCCTTACATGAAATCATCCTCCATCAGTCTTTTCAGACCAAAGACATGTACCCACAAGGTGCAGGAAACCCGCAGGGATAGGTATCAGCAGTCATCTTTCTTCAGCTAAGATATGGGGCAAGAACAGGTAAGGAGGAATGGAGCCCTTAGAACACCTGTATTCTATTTTATACCCTATCTTTTGGCCCATGGCCAGACTTCTCAAGACACATTTTGAGGACATTGAGAGATTAACTACTTGACCTAGGAGGCAGGTCAGTTGTGACAAAGAGCTTTTGAAGAGATATTTAGCTAATTTCAACTTCCCTTCTCACCTTTAAATGAGGTTGATGGAAACCCCACTTCACTGTATAAAATGCCCCTTTTATAGCTGTTGCAATTAGTTTCAGTTTTCATTTATCTTCCCCAAAGTAATGGCATGAGCAACATTAAACTAGATGCTTATATATTCATTTATTTAGAAGTCCACAAGAGATATTGATTGATGAAAAAATACATAGTATAGAACAGCACTTATGTGTGATTACTTTTATCTACACATATATCTGTCTAGGCACACAGGTACAGAGAAATTTTATAAGGACATTCACCAAAGGGCTGACAATGATTGCATCAGGGTGAGATTTTTAGGTAATTTATACTTTAGTTACATTTCTCTTGGAAGGTTGAGAAAGAGACCATGATTAAAGTCACCAGAGAAAGATGCACAGAGAAACGACCATTAGGCAGTCAAAGGAATGAACAAGGAATGATGTGGAGCCATCCCTCTCCATTGTGCTAGCATTTAAGACTTATTTTTCTTCCCATGGAAAACTGGTTTTAGAGTAATTCTTGCAGTTAGAAGCGTACCCCATCCCTGTTTTCCCCAGAATCAGCCTGTGAATAGTTATTGGTTGATTCAGGGCTGAGTCTAGCATATTACTCTGACCCAGAGAGTTTTGAACTCTCCATATGAGTCAGCTCCTGCAGAGTGACTGTCAGATTCTCAAAGTCCTCAGCATTATTGCCGGCATTGTCACAGGTTTCTTTTTCGTGGCCCTCCTTGCCACAATGGGAACAGTAAATTGTGTACTTTCGCTTTCTGTTTCTATGTAGATCCCCAGGCCCATTATTGTCAGGCCCAGAACCATTGCTAGTGGAAGGACACTCAACCTCGAAATCGCTGGGGGACTCAATGATCAGCATTTGCTCTTCAACAGTGGCCCTGCCAATGGGGCATAGAGCAGTTGAGGATGGCAGTGGAGGGTCTCCAGACTCCACGATAATCACATCCTCATCTGAGTCATCAGGGGAGTCATCTATCTCTATCACATTGCAGTCAGCATTGTCTATCACTATAGGCAGGGAGCCCTGAAATTCTACAGGGCTGGGTGCCCTCTCCATGATTGTCTCAGCTCTTCTGGGGCGCTTATGTTTAAGAAAAGTGTCATCCCAGTCTTCTTCCTCCCTTACCATCCTGATTAACTCCAGGAAATCTGGAAGGCCTTCCTGCTCATCCACATGCATTTGGAGAAGGCCCTTAAGCTTGCTTCGAAGGTCACTACTCAGCTCAGCACCTACAAGGAGCTGATGAAGGCGAGTCCTGTTGGCCTCTTTCTCATCAAAGACTCCTGCCTGAATAGCATTCTGCAGCTGCACCTCTAAACGGATCACATAAAGGGAGATTTTCTCCCCCTGTGCCTGCAGGGTGTTAAAAAATTTACCATGGGCTGTTACACTGCTCTCAGACTCCCCAAACACCAATTTCATTGCCCGCAAAAATTCTGCCACGTTTAGACTGGGATTGGCAGCCTGGAGCAAACGCGTGACCTCCCTGGCAGGACCCCTAAGGGTTCTCATCAAGCGCTTGATCTTTTCCTCCTCAGACACATTCCAATCTGGCAGGACTGCATTGACTTGACTCAGCCAATTTTCAAAGGTTTCCTCCCCGTAGGCTGGCACTGCCCTCCCAGAGAACAACCTCACATTTCTCTCTGCCATATTGGCTATCAAAGAACCAAGACTCCTCCCCAGGGCCCTCATCATAGAATGGGCCAAAGGCAGGAAAGCTATGTTCTGCCGACGTCTGTTACCCAGTTCAGCAAAGATGTTAGCCATGTCTGACAATAACTGGGTATCTGAATACAAGATGCTCAGGATTTTTACCAACAACAACAAAGTGTAATCTTCAGAAGTATCCAAGGAAAGGTTCCTGGACTGTGGCTTCCTTGTGTTTTGGTGATGACTGTAAAAAAAGAGAGAGGAAAAAAAAGTAACAGTGGACTGTGGAAACAAGCCCATATTCATGTTTTCTACTCTCTTGAATATTTGCCCACTGCCCTAAAAATACTCACCAGGAAACTGACAGTTCTGACCTTGAGAAGCAACAAGGTATCTCTGTACTACTGGGGCCTTTGTCAGTCTCAGATAGTACCCCAGTTTGCAGCAACTGTTGCTTGGAATACTAGCTCAAACAGCCTTTGGAGCCCATATTTAAGGCTCTCAAAATAGCAATAGTGACTCACAGAATTATTTTAATAAGTAAGGCCTCTATTAACCTCAAGATCTTAACCATATGTCCTTCTTAAAAGATCCCGTCCCCCACCCTCCCTTCTGTTTCTTTTCCAGATTCTTACAAGAGCTCAGCAACTAGTCTCTGCTCTTTGATTTCAAGTCCAGCCTCTGCAACAGGTGCCCTCGGTGAGAGTTCCGGTAGGGTCAGTCTGGGTCAACAGGGTTCACAGATCCAGGTGCTCAGTGAGTCTAGACTGCGCCACAGAAGAGGGAAGGGAAAGGAAGAGAAGGGTCAGAGACGGGACTTCAGAAGCAGTCTCAACATCTGGCCACTTCCTTCACTGCCTCCATTGTGGCCACAATGAAAAGTCCCTCTCCCACCTTCAGAATAAAAGCCAAAAGGCCAGCCTCCCCGAATACATTTCACCCAGGAAACCAGAGGTCTACCAGCTCTCCAATAAGCTACACAGAATTCAAGTTTGGAATCGGCTTTGACGGGCTGTCACAGAGAAAAAGAACAGAAGTTGGACACCCTCCTACCGCCGTATTTCTTCCCAGGAAGAGATGAAAGAAAAGAGAATTCAGGACAGACAGCTTGCCAATCTTTCCTCCTACCCTTGGCTACCGTTCTGAAAATGTCCCCTCCCGAGTCTAGGCAAATTCTATCAATAGACAGCATCCAGGTGAAGCTCACCTCCTCCCACCTTGTAGCCTGGCCACCAGGGTGCTCCTTTCCTAGTCAATTATCCAAGCCCAGAACTAGTAAGGTTTTACCCTCCCCTCTCGGCATCATGCAACAGCGGTCCCTTTTCGTTTACCTGGCCTTAGCAGATGGGCAGAAGATGGATGCTCAGGCGTCGGGATTACTGTTTTGTCTCTTGCCCTTTGAGGCTCTGCAGAGAAAAAGGATGGCGCCTTAGCCTCTGAGCGAACTGGGACTTGCCCAACCCAGCAAGCTGCTTTGCAAGGCTGCCCAGCGAGGGGTAGCCTAGTCGCAGCCCCGCGGTTTCCAAGGCAGCTCAGACTGACCCCGCCCTCCAGTTCAGCTTGCCCAGCAGCGGACGCTGCTTTTAGCCTTTGCCCATTGAGACAAAAGAGCGTGACGAGAGGAGTGGCACGGCCAATCAGCGATGCGCGGAGGCGGCCTCCCCGCAACGCCTCGGCCAGGATGCTAATGCCTACCAGAGGGGGGAACCTGCTGGAGGGGGCTGCGGCAGACTGGCGCGGGAGCGGGCGCGGCGGCGTCAAGTGCAGCTCGGACGCGCGGACCTGGCCCATTTACATTTCACTCGTGAGTTTGCTGCTTCTCCTCCCTTCCCTTCTTCCTATGGCCTTCCGCCTAGGTTCCCCTCTGCTGCTTTGTGACCGGATGCCTTAAACACGAGGTGGGGCCGAAAGCAAGTGAACAATGAGAGTTCTTCACCTTTGTATAGGAGAAAGGGGGAAGCATTTATTGAGCGCTTTGTGTGGCAGTGCGCTTGCACAGACATCTCATTTATTCTTCTCATCAGCCTTCTGAGAAAACGCAGCGGTGTGCCCATTTAACAGACAGGGGGATGTAAGCACCCAGGCAGAATGGGTAGGAAGTGCAGAACTAAAAGCTAACACTCCAGCTCTGGTGTCTGACTTCAAGGTATCTAGTCCTTCTAAACACCCCTCTCTAGTGTCAGATTAAGGGTTAGTGGAGAAGCACCAAAATGTGATTTAGAGGTCCACTTCAGGGCTAAATAGAATTAATGACCAAGAACTGATATCTCCATTTTACAGATGAGGAAACTGAGCCACTATGAGCTTAGGCATCTTGTCCTGTATCACGCAGCAAATAAGTTAACATTAGATTTTGCACTCCAGTCTGTCGTTCTGTTGATGCCAGCCTTTCACTCTGTGTTGATGCCAACACTTTGCCCTGCTATGCTGCCCAGAGAGAACATTTTCACTTTTACATAGATAGCCACAAACTATCTCAGCAGCTCTTTTAATGTGATGCCAGTGTTGAGGGAGGGAGTGAGGAGGCAGTGAGAAGAGATGTGAAAGAAGAGGAAGGCAATCTTTATGATATGATTGTACAGAGGAGGAAACTGAGGCATTTTTCTGTCTGTTATTTATTATACACTGAAACCACCTGTTTATAAAAATAACATTATTTTTAGCCGGGCATGGTAGTGCACGCCTGTACTCTCAGCACTTGGGAGGCAGAGGCAGGCGGATCTCTGTGAGTTCAAGGCGGTATTCCACAACTCAAGTGTGTTTACGTACGTGCAGGCAAAACACTCATACATGTAAAACAAATAAAAATATAAATAAATAAATTTTTTAAAAGTCCTTTAAGCTGGGTGTGGTGGTGTGCACTTTTAATCCCAGCACTCACTCAGTAAGCAGAGGCAGGTGTATCTCTGTGAGATCAAGGTCATTCTTGTCTGGATCGCGAGTTCCAGGCCAGCTAGGGCTACAGGGCTTCAAAAAGACAAAAACAAAACAAAACAAAACAAAACAAAACAAAAAAAACAAAACAACAAAAAAAACAAACATTATTTATGTTTGACCCCTGAAGAAGTCAGACTCAGAGATGCCTTGCCTAAAATTACAAGGTGAAGTCAGAACAGAACAAAGTTTGGGTACCCAGCTGGCTATCACAAAATAATTTTGGAAGGCCTCTTAGAAATGAACTGGAGCCCTGGGCTCCAGTTCTGGGGATTTCGATTTACTGGGCTTAGGAAAGAACAATGTTTTTTTTTGTGTGTGTGTTTTACCTGTTGCTATAGTTAATTCTGGTTTGTAGAGAAGTTTATGAACCCCTTTTCCAAATACTATACCACGATGAAGGCTAATGGTTCTGCCACTAACATAACTTTCCACAGCCTATCTGCCATGAAATGCAATTCCAGAGCAGAGGCTCTTACCTAGAGTCCTTTCTGAAATGCATGCAAAATATTTGAATTCTTTTCTGAAGCCATAATTCTGTGAGTTTTCAGTCAGGTGGTTCCTAAACAGCTAAGAACGACTGCCCTACAGTCTTCATCACATCTGCCTTCAACCCCTACTGGAGGAAGAAGTGTGAGAAACAAAACACTATTTTACCTAACCCCCACACCACAGCTCTGTGCTGCTGATATAGCTCTTTCATTTCCTGGCTCAAGGATAGGTTGCTAGGTTGCCCTTCTGTGAGCTCTTCAGGGGACTTCTCCTTTGCCGGATTTGGCATCACTGGCCCCAGAGAAGGAGCAACTCCATGGAAACGGCATGCAAGGCTGTCCAGAGCGAATGGTCCGTGAAGCTAGAGGCTAGAAAACCTGCCCCATTTTCCCTGTCTTCTGGTTCATAGACAGCAGGTATCACTTCCCCTTGTATAGACTGTAGCTAGGAGGCCCCTGTGGGACTCGCACTTGACTCCTGATGCTTGGGAGCAAAGGGACAGTCTGGAATGCTGCAATTGCCGTTAGCTTCATCTTAAGCATGCTAAGGTATTTTGCCTATCCCTGTTTGCCTTCTGATTTACAACCCAAGTAACTACAGGTCCTTGGCCTATGCAATTCAAATTCGGAAGAAGTACCTTATACATTAAGACTGCAGCCTCCTCTTGGGGATGGAACAGTGGGGTAGTGGTGGTGGAAGGTGGAGAGTGTTGGAGGCACATAGGAGGCAGGTTGCTGGCCTTGCATAGTTAGTGGTGCGGCTAGAACTATCTAGTGGATTTCATGAACGTTCTTGCTTCTTCCCGTCTATACTACAATGTCTGAACACTGCCTCTTAGCATACCCTTGTTCTGTGTTTGCATTGGCTTCATCACCAAATTAGATAACAACATTTTACCTGGTAGAATAGGATCAAATGAGACTAAGAAGAGAGCTGAACGTTCTGAGAAAAGTGGTGAAAAGAAATGGATTGTGTAGAGGTACAGAGGTTTGTTAGAGTTTGTTAGAGCAAGGTTGAGAGGAATATTTGGAAATTTACCAGCAGGGTCCAGTGGGATACAGAGCACACCTTATCTCTGGCCTCATGTGTGGGTATGTGTGCCAATGATAGTTCTAATGAGGCCACATTTTCCAATTTTGACAAATGAACCTTAAAATCTTGAAATTTAGGAGCTAAAGCTTTCAGATGAAATAATAGTGGCTACTTTTGGCAGCCTGCCTCCTCCTTGCCAGGAGCTTTCCATCTGTAATCTCATTTAAACTTCTCAGCAACCCAGCTGACATAGGCATTGTTGTACCATTTTTTCAGAGAGGAAAATTGAGTTTTAAGGGAGATAAACTAGTATAGGGGCATACTACCTGGAAGTGAAGCGACTGGGATTCTGGTATAGGGATGCCAAACCCCAGAACAGAGAAAAACTTGCCACTTTGAAGAGGAAAATGTAAAATACATCCTGCAGGGCTAGAGATGTAGCTCAGCAGAGGAGCATTTTCCTAGCATGTACAAAGCCCTGATTTTGATCCCAAACACTTAAGAAAAAAAGAAATTATTCTTTAGACAATCACAATGCATTAGACCTAATGCAGCTTTTGGAACAGTTTAGCAATTTAGGTATAATTGTTACCTTACTTACTATTTTTTCACTTTTTAAAAAATGAAAGTATTGCTATAACTTGTAGAACAACTTATAATCTATGTACTTTAATATAGTTTATGGCATGCAACCTTCATGATAAGCATTTTAAAAATAATGATACAGGCCTTGTGAGATACCTGTGGGTATCTTCCCTTGCCAATCCCTAATAACTTACTCTTCTATTGACACATTTACCATTTTTTATTTTTACATATGAAAAACTTATCTTTCTGTGCCTGGTTAATTTTACATGACATAATGTCTTCCAGTTCCTTCCATACTGCTGCAGATGACAGGATTTCACTCTTCTTTATGGATGAATAATACCCAGTTGCATTAATTTACATACAATATTTTCTTTATCAATTCATCTGTTAATGGGCACCTAAACTGATTCCATAGCAAATATTTGTGTATAGTTTAGCAACAAGCCTAGACTCTTCAAGTGTTTCTTTGGTGGGCCTATTTTATTTCTTTCAGGTATATACCCAAGAGTTTTAATAGCAATAACATCTCCTACATCAATTTTTACTTTTTGAGGAACCTCCATACTGTTATTCATCATGTATGTACTAATTTACACTTCTATAAATGATGTATAAGGGTTGTATTTTTAAATTTTTATATGTATGAGTCTATTGCTTGCATGAAAGTTGGTGTACCTGTGTCACGCAATGCCGGCAGCGGTCAGAAGAGGGCACCAGATTCCCCTGGAACTGGAGATTCAGATCTTTAGCTGCCATGTGGATGCTGGGAATCGAACCCAGGTCCTCCGGAAGAGCAGCCAGTGCTCTTAACTGCTGAGCTATCTCTCCAACAGTAAGGGTTGTCTTTTCTTCACATCTTTTCCAGCATTGAATTTTCTCTGTCCTGTGTAGAATAAATTGCTCTTGCCTTTCTGCTTTGACCTAGATTATTTTTGTTTTGTCATCCAATGTAGGTTAGCTCATTTTTTGAGCTGCCTATGCCACTACATTCCCAAGTCTTTGAGGATAGGCATCAAATCCTTTCCATTTTTAGCTCCATCATGATTTGCCCATGATGACTTAAAAGATTATCAATATGTGTTTGTGAACTGACCAAAGGACTGGCTGAGAATTCCCCAATGAACAGATGGCTGTGGGGCTGGTTCTTGGAATGTGCACCCAGGATACCCATCTTCACTAGATGGGCCTGGAAAGTCTCAATTTTCATAAGCTCATTTAATTAGGTTATGGGCATAGGAGGCAGATCATAGGGTTTAAGAGATTTTAAAAAAATGCCTCAAGATCATCTCCAAGCCTAGTCTTTACTTTGGAATTAATATTAAGAGGCCAGGTTCTCCTGAGTGAGTATGCAGGACATTGCGTTCATAGAAAAAAATTATTCCCTGGTTCATATAGGAACACTAAAAATGTTTCAGCATGTCATTTCATCTAGTTCTAGCTGGTCTGCAGGATCATGTACTCTGTGAAGACAGATAATGAGGTTGTGAAAAGCATCTTTTTTGATACTTTTTAAAAATTAAGGTCACCAAATCATGAATTTTCAGGAACATTATCTCATTTTATGTTACTAATCTTTGATGCAACTTTTTGTGGTAGGTCTTATTGTCAAGACTTTGTAGCCAAAGAATGTGAGACAACAAAATTCTAGCCTTGACCAAGATCACACAGCTAAGTAAGTGGCCAAGTCAGAAATCAGTACTAGATCTTTTTGTCCCCCAACGTATCTTAACAGAGAAACACACAAGTGAAAATCGGACTTTATTCCCTCTGTAAAATAGAAAGAATTAATTTTATAAGATGGTGTATGAGATATTTAAAGTCAGATGTTTCTATACTGTTCACCTTTAATTCCTCAAAATTATTGCATAAAAGACAGAAAAAATCGGTGGTACAAAAGTACAATCCCATTATCAACCATAGGTGTGAAATCTCCATATCTATGCCTTTACAACATTATACTGTTTCAGGGGTGCCTACAAAACGTTTTGCCACATCTGATAATTTTATAAGTAAAAAGAGGCTCCAAGATGTCAGTGAATTTCTGAAGATCATATAAAAAGTTTGTAACAGAACTGGTGCATACAGTGCTGGTGTGCCAAACTCTAGCCATTTGTTTTTCTGCTAAGTCAGCCTGCCTTAGGGAGTTAATGAACACATACTTATAAAAAGGTGGGCAGGGGAGCTAGAGAAATGGCTTATCAGTTAAGAGCACCAGGGCCTTTTGCAGAAGACCCAGGTTCGATTCCCAGCACCCATACAACGGCTAACAACCATCTGTAACTCCAGTTTCAGAGGAATCCAACACCCTCTTCTGACTTCCATGGGTATTGCATGGGTACACTTACGTACATGCAGACAATGCACTCATATGCAAAAAATAAAAATAATGAATATTTTTTTTCCAAAAAGGTGCATAGGAAATGGAATGTTAACTGCACTTGGAGTTGGAAAATGGGGAAAAAAAATCCTTTATCTTACCACTTGTTCTTATTTAGGCGAAGGTAAAACTTAGAAAAGAGAACTGTGGAATGTTCCAGGCCACTATGACTTTGTGGGTCTGAGTGACCTGGGCAGGAGATATAGGGAGAGACTCTCTTTAGCTACTGAGATACTGAATTGATTGCCAGAAGCCTAAAATTGTTGCAGAGGGACACAAGGAATGGGCATTTTGAATTTTTGCCCCTGGTCAGTTCTCAGCTAAAGATTTCCAGGCAGGCAGGCCCTCCCAGTCTCCTTCTGGCCTTGAGAGTTAAGACTGAGGCTTAAGGCCAAAGTGAAATGCTGAGAGCAGGGAGATGGTGACAGGCAGAACAGAGAAGACAGATCTGCCTCCTTCCCTAAGAGATGAGTGTGGCTCCAGGGGAAGGGTACCAACTGATAATGTCGGGGTAAGGATGGAACAGGACCAGAGGCCAGAGGCAAGCACAGTGGAGGCAGTGATTCTAGAAGAAGCCATCCAAGGCAAGTTGTGAGTATAGCAGTTCAAAGAAGGCTGCATGAGTTTCTTGTAACACCTGGCCTCTGCTCCTCCCTCAGGGCCTCAGCTGTACTCCTTTGTCCCTATGGAGTGGACTGTGTAGCCTGCTGACATAGCTGGAATCCCAACAACAGACCACAATCCTAAATTCCATGTGAAAGCTGTGGTCTACACTTCTCACCAGGATTCCTGTTCCTGCCAGTTCTCCAGCCTGATCACCATCCCCTTTCCCCATCCTTGATTCTACCTATACAGCTATATGCTTCCTGTCTCTGACATGCCAGCTACTGATGCTGTACATCCTGTCTTCTCAGCCCAGTGGAGACCAACCTTTCATCCATCCATCCATCCCTCCCTCCCTCTCTCCATCCCTTCCATCCATCCTTCCAGACAGGGTTTTACTATGCTGACTAGGCTGCTCTTGAACTCAAGTTCAAGTGATTCTCCTTAGTCTCTCAAGTAGCTGAGACTACAAATATGTGATATCACAAAAGGCTCTTATTTCTTCTGAATCCTAAATTTTCTTCCTGTGTCCTGGCTCCCAAATTGCTTCTAATACTACTCCTTTATATCATGAGGTGTGTGTGTGTGTGTGTGTGTGTGTATGTGTGTGTGTATGTGTGTGATTGGGTCTCATGTGTCCAAGGTTAGCCTTGAACTTGATATGTAACTAAGGATGACCTTGAACTCCTCCTGATTCTCTTATCTTTACTCCCCAAGTGCTAGATCCAGGTATGAAACATCATGCACAATTTATATGATGCTGGGGATTGAACCCAGTGCTCCACGCACAGTAGAAAAGCCCTCTATGAACTGAGCTACATCCCCAGATGGTGATATTTTTATCATCACATATATGGATCATGACTGGTGCTTCTGGTTTGTAATGAGTACTAGCCTGGCATGCTGCTAAATACCCTTCAATGACTAGGACAGGCACTAATAATAAAGAATTATCTTGTCCCAAAGGTTAGTGAAGAACAGGTTGAGAAACCCTGCTCTATTATATAGCTTTACGCGTAAAAGGTTAGGTTTGAGAAGTGCCTGATGCTGAGCCACACGGCACAGAGCTTTCAGAAGCAGCATCTCTTACCTTCCTTTAATTAGGGAGGAGTATGACATTTTTATGAAGCAGCTAGAGTTTGGGAAGGAATCTACAGAGGCAGAGGAGTTTCCCACCACCAAATTTACTACCAGTTTTTACAGAAAATAATGCACTACAACGATTGACCAGCTTAAAAATGGTTTTGATGGGGAGATGGCTCAGTTGGTAATGTGCTTGCCCTGCAGTCACAAGGACCTGAGTTTGGAAACCTAGTACCCACATTAAAAAGCCAGGCATTTAATCCCATTACTTGGGAGGAAGAGACTGGTGGATCTCTGTGAGTTGAAGGCCAGCCTGGTCTACATAGTGAGTTCCAGGTCAGCTGGGGCTACAGGCAGACGCTGTCTCAAAAAGACCAAAAAAAAAAAAAAAAAAAAAAAAAAAAAAACAAAAACAGCCAGGCATAGTGGCATGTGCCTGTAATCCTGAGGTTGGGGAAGCAGTGACTAGAGGCTCTCTGGTGCTTGCTAATGAGTTATCTTTGCCAAATTGATGAGCTCCAGGTTCAGTGAGAGATCCTGTTTCAAAAAGTACATTGGAGAGCTGTAGAAAAGGGCATCCAACATTAACTTCTTGTGTGTAAACACACACACACAGATGGGTACATACCTGCATGCACATGGGTGTACAAACATAAACACACACTCACACACTACATACACACACGAATTGAGAGGTGTAGTCTGTGATTCTCATAGCACAATTTCCTGACGTGCATAAAACTCAGGTTCAATTTGTAGCATTGAAAAAGTTATTTCGGAAAGAGAGTAACAACTTACAGCTTTAGTAGTCTATAAAATGCGAAGTTTGGGACTGGAAAGATGGCTCAGCTATTAAAAGAACTTGCTGTTCTTACAGAAGACCAGAGTTCAGTTCCCAGCACCCATGCTGGATGGTTCATAACCACCTATAACTCTAGCTCCAGGGACTATAACATCCTATTCTGACCTCTATGGATAATGCCCCCACAAACACATGTGCTATGCACACTCCCCATACACATAAAATTTAAAGAATGCAAAGTTTTTTAAAAATAGGTTTTTGAACTGTCCTTCCCAGTTTTCATGACTTTTAGTCTTAATTTTTTGAAGACTGGAATTTTGCTATATCAACAAAGTATCATAGAGGTGACTGTCAAGAGAAATAAATGAAAATAACCGCCATTATCTTTTGTTTATTAAAACAGGGTCTTATTATGTAGCCCTGGCTGGCCTAGAACTTACTGTATAGACCAGGCTGGCCTTAAACTCACAGAAATCCTCCTGCTTTTGCTTCCTGAGTGTGGATTACAGTTGTGAACCACCATGCCTAGCCATCTGCCACTGTTTTAATTTATGGTTGATGAAGTATTAATTTCTTAAGGGTATGTCGGTTCTCAGTGTTGATTGGTTCCTGTCACTTGAGTTTCTCACGGTTCTGTGTGTAACCAAACCAGGAAATGGTTGCCAACACATTTAAATGGTCAATCTAACTTCTTTTCTCCTCTTGACAGTTTCTTTTACCTGCATCCAGTTGTCTTCAGAATGGCGGAGAAGAACAACTCTGCTGGGAAGGAGCTTCAGCATAGGCCGAGATCAGAGGTTCCAGGAAAGAAAATCTGGCACTCCCAAGCCTACACCCTTGGGGCCATTTCCAACTTTATGTCTACCTTTCTGACCTTTCCTATCTATAAGGTTGTGTTCCGGCAGCAGATCCATGCTATGGCGGTGTCAGAGGCTGTGAGACAGCTTTGGCATGAAGGTCCTCAATACTTCTACCGGGGAATCTACCCTCCTCTTCTTTCCAAGACTCTGCAAGGGACTCTCTTGTTTGGCACTTATGATAGTTTGCTGTGCTTTCTCTCCCCTGTTGGGCCACACTCCCTGGGACAGCGCTGGGCTGCAGGGCTCATGTCTGGTGTGGTGGAAGCTCTGGCACTCAGCCCCTTTGAAAGAGTGCAAAATGTGCTCCAGGATGCTCGCAAGCAAGCTCGCTTCCCCAGCACCTTTAGCATTCTCAAGGAATTCAACTCTTATGGCTTTTGGGGGCGGCTGTCACTGGGCTATTATCGTGGTTTCTGGCCTGTCCTTGTCAGAAACAGCTTGGGGAGCGCTCTCTATTTCTCCTTTAAGGATCCTATCCAGGATGGCTTGGCAAGGCAAGGCCTGCCCCATTGGATTCCTCCTTTGGTGTCTGGCAGTGTCAACGGAACAATCACCTGTCTAGTTCTGTATCCTCTGATTGTGCTGGTTGCCAATATGCAGTCTCATATTGGTTGGCAGAGAATGCCAAGCTTGTGGGCCTCTGCCCAGGATGTGTGGGACACTCGAGGTAGAAAGGTACTCCTGATTTACCGAGGAGGTTCTCTGGTTATCCTAAGGTCCAGTGTGACATGGGGCCTCACTACTGCTATCCATGACTTCTTGCAGAGGAAGTCTCACTCCAAGAAAGAGCTGAAAGACTGAATAAAAGCAGAAGTGCGTCCATGGCATCTCTGTTCTAAATCTCCCCACACTGGATGTGTATAGCTTACTTCTTTAGCTTGGTTACTAAATACAACCATTCTTTAGCATCTGGAAACTTTCACCACATGAGAGGCTCCCCGACAAAACCTAACAAGATTCCTTGATGAGAGAGAGAGAGAGAGAGAGAGAGAGAGAGAAAGAGAGAGAGAGACACCCCAGTCTATACACAGCTTCAGTAGTCTCAGACCTGGGAGCCCCTAAATAGACTGTAGCCCAAATTAAATACTGTTCCTTCATGGTACTCTGTAATAAGAGGAAACTTTAAAAGAAGTCCTTACTCTGGCACCATGAGTCTGGAGTCTGTTCAGGTATCATCCTGACCAAACTGAGTGGAGCTCCAATTTCAAAGAACTATAATTCACTTTGAAGACAACTTCTGAGAAGACTACATTTTCTTGACATTGTTTACTGCCCTACCACAGGCACTCTCACTTCAAGCTGAGGGTCCTACTTTCAGGATACCTTCCATGGTTACAAATTCAGTTAGTCTTGCTTCAAGTCAGCAGATGCCACAAGAACTGATGATGCTGGAATGGGGAGTGAGAAATGATGTGGTGCATGGATAGAAAGAATAAAGGCTCTGAAGCATGAAATTTAATTACATGCCAAATAGAAAAGAAAAACAATTACTCTAGGTTGTTCGGTGTTATCTGCTAGAACATTTTTATATTAAAGATATTACATTGCCTAGAAACCATTTAAGTTTCCATAAGAAACCTGCAATAACATGACCTTATCTCTTCACTAATAATCACTTATTTTGTTAATGTGGACAAACATAGTTATTATAGCATAAAGACTTTTTAAGCCTGTCATTCGGAGTCATTGCCAATATAGTCGACATAAAAATTTCAGCATATTAACACACCAGAAGAAGCCCAGAGGCCAGACAAAATGAACTGTTTGTCTCTCTCTAAACATGCCATGAACTTACCTATGGCCATATTTTGGCCCACACTATTCTCTTCACTTACAGTACTCTTATTTTTGCCAGTCTACTAAAAACTTCCACTTTCCCAAAGTCCAGCTGAGATGCCACTGTATCTGTGGAGCCTTTTCTGCATTTCCCCCAATTGAATGTGACATAAGTATTGAGATGCCCCCTCTTGCTCACCAACACTGCACTGATTTCTTGATGTCACTGATCCCACGAGGCCCTTTATTTTTGATGTTCTTCAATACCTCCTACTCGACTGTAAACTTCTTGAAAGCAGGGATTCTTGTATGCATTTTTTAAATTCTCCATTGTGCCTAGGTGCTCAATAAAGTTTGTGAATTATTGAACTAATTATTAAGCTGTGATACAGTGTATATCCTCAGGGTGCTATCCCTATTACATGAAGATAATGTTACTGATTCATTGTCAACAAGACACATGCCTTTGAGGTGTGCTTGTATTCTTTTAATAGTGGATTTAGTTTTGTGCTAATGATAATGCCAATTATGATAATAATAACAATAATAAAATTACTTCCAAGTGGAATATTTGATGAGTATGTGTTATTTATGTCATGTTTGTTATTATAGCCATTTTAGGAACTGAAATTTCACAAACACAGTCACATTGCACAGCTGTCCCACTCCTTTCAGCTCTTGAATTTTGACTATTTCCAGGAGGGGATGTGTTGCAGTTCTTGCTTTATAGATGATAGCATGATAATGTCTTCTACCTGTTCCTCCCCACTGAAATGAAGTTATCTTTTATAATGACCTATTTTGTCTAGCAACGATAATTTCTCACTGAATGCTACAGACATTAAAGTCAGAATTGCCGGCCATGATATTAGCATTAATTTGCCACTAAGCTCAACAGAAAATGGCTGTCCCGAAGAGCTGCAGATGAGCTTCCACACTGCAGATCTGGCTGGGTTGGGACAGTGCTATTAGGCTTTCTTACCTGCAGATTTTGCATTTCTGTCTTCAGCCATTTTAGAAAGAAAGTATTTGGGACAAAATCATGTCTGTATTGAAAATCTATCTGCAGTTGTTTTAATAATTATTATTCTTTACATAATCCTGTATAAAATCATTTACAAAACACTTACATTAGATATAATAAAGTAGAAATAATTTTAAATATGTGGGATAAAGCTGGGAACAGTGGAACATGCCTGTAATCCCAGTAGTTGAGAGGCAAAGGCAGGAAGATTAGGAGTTCAAGGGTGTCCTAGGCTACATAATGAGTTCAAGGACTGCATGAGACTCTGTCTCAGCACCTTTCCCCCAAATAAAATAAAATGAACGTAAAAATAAAGTACTGAAGTATATAGGATTTGAAATTACAAGCAGCTAGAACACAACAATTTTTAAAATGTGGGACTTCAGCAGCCACAGATTTTGCAATTTGTGGAGAGTCCTGGAACCAAATCTCCACGAATACTGACAAATGACAGTGGTTGTCTGTTCAAGCCAGCAGAAACACATACTGAGCACAAAGGAAGGAAATTTAAAACAGTAGCTAGTTATAGTACTGTCTAACATCCAGGAGAAAATATTTTTCATAAAAATTTTAACTAGCAATAAAGTAAGGAATAGATGAACACTATGCTCAATATATGCATTTATCTCTACACTGTGTATTCCCATTTATGTCACTGTCAATCTATGCCCCTTTCCCCCACCTTAACAGGTTATCTAGAAATAAATTTGAGCCTATAGAAAATTTTCATGCATAATAATGCATAAAGAACACCCATACACCCTGTAATCAGACCTACCTATTAATGTTTTATCTCATTTGTTGTATTATTTGATTATGCATTATCTGTCTACACACACACACACACACACACACACACACACACAATTTTCCTGGACTGAGAATTGCTTACATCAAATGCTATAGGGTTAGGGCTGTGGTAAAGCCCTTGCCTAGCAGGCTCAAGGACATCCCCAGCACCACAACAATAATATCAAAATTTATGGTCTCTAGCCCAGGCTAGCCTTTAACTTTCTATATAGCTGAGGATGACCTTGAGCTTCTGATCGTCCTGTCTCATCTCCCAAGTGCCGGATTGCAGCTGTGCACCACCACATCTGATTATGTGGTGCTGGGAATGAAACCCAGAACCCCATGTGTGCCAGACAAGTACTCTACCAACTCTACATCCCCAACCCTGATTGTAAAATATTATAAAATGAAAATTCACATAACATTTTTAAGACTGATAGTAACTATTTAAATTTACTATATTTGTCTTATACATAGTTAAGTTTTACACTGTTTATATTGAAGCTTAAAACTATGCAATTTTAAACATAGATTTGCAAACAAAGCATGGAATAATTTATATGCATTTTACAAATTGCTTCATATAAAATCCTAGGCAATGTTACAAAATTGAATAGTTCTATTGACTTTTCCCACTTACATCTTCTGAGTAAAATTTAAGAGTGCAATCACTGTCTAGTGAATTTAAATGTCAACATTTATATTTCATTTTGTGATGACAATCTAGTTTTTTTGTGATATTTGAGAAACTATTTTTAGGATATATGGTCATTAAAATAAGGAGTTAATAAATTCTTATATTATTTTAAAGACCCACTAAATCTAGAGTTTAATACTAATACATGAATGAGTAAAAATTATAGAAAATGAATTGTTAATCAGCCATAAAGAATGACATCAAGGCATTGAGAGTTAAAGATGTGGAACTAGAGATCATCCTGTTAAGCAAAGTAAGCCAGACCTAGAAAGACAAGTATCACATGTTTTCTCACATACATGGAGTGATGGTTAGTGATAATTATCAACTTGGCAGAACCTAGGATTACTTGGAAGAAGCAATTAATTGATGTGGAAAGACCCATCTTAACTGTGGGAAGGGCCATTTCATGGGATGGGTTCTGGACTGAATGAAAAGGGGAGGTGGAGCTGAGTGCACTTATTTGTTTCTGTCTGCTTCCTAACTATGGATGAGGTATAGCCGAGTGGTTCAAACACTTACCACCCTGACTTTGCAATGGTGGACTGTAACCTGAAACCGTGAGCCAAAATAAACCCTTCCCTGTTGCTTTTGACAAAGTTTTTTGTCACAATAACTGAAAAAGAAATTAAATACGCATACAGAAGATTATTCAAATGTAAGAGCGCTATTATTAAGAATGAACCAATAAAGAAATTTTGACATATATATATACAATTATTCCCCATTAAGAAAAATGAAAACGTATCATTTGCAAGAAAATGAATGGAACTGAAGAGCATCATGTTACTAAAAATAAGACAAAGAAAGATTAATCTTATGCTTTCTCACATATGCAGAAGATTTTTAGTATATGAAAGTAGAAGGGGGACTTATTGGTGAATTAAAGGGATAAATAATGAGAGGTGGAGGAAAAATGTAGGTAAAGGGGATTACAATCAACTATAAAAATGTTAAAATAAAACTCACTATAGTGTAAAATTAATTTACACTAAGATAAAGAATGAAAGTACTCTACTTCCCTATTCTATTCACTTTCCAATGTCTATTTTTTAATATTTTATTTATTATTTTTATTTTACATGTATGCGTGTATTGCCTGCATGTAGGTAAGTGCACCCGTGTTGTGCAATGCCTGCGGAGGACAGAAGAGGCTGTTGGATTCCCTGGAAGTGGAGTTACAGACAGTTGTTGGCTGCCATGTGGGTGCTGGGATTTGAACCCGGGTTTTCTCCAAGAATATTCAGTGTTCTTAACCGCTGATTCATCTCTCCAGCCCCCCAATGTCTCTTTTTATGTCATTTCCTTTCCTCAAATCTTTTTTTATCATGTGTATGTATGATGTGTGTGTGTGTGTGTGAGAGAGAGAGAGAGAGAGAGAGAGAGAGAGAGAGAGAGAGAGAGAAATGAGTGTGTATGTGTCTGTGCACATGTTCGTGGGTGTGAGTGCAGATAAAAGTCAGAAGACAAACTCAGCTGACTGTTCTCACTTCCCACTTTGTTTGATGCAGGGTTTCTCATTGCTTTTTCTGCTGGATATGCCAGGCTATCTAGCCTACTAACTTCTGGGGATTCTCCTGTCTCCACTTGCCCTATCACCATATGAGGTCTGAGACTGCAGAAGTGTGCTACCACATCTGCCTTTATGTGGGTTCTGGAGATGTGAACTCAGGTCTTCATGCTTGCTCACCAAGCACTTTACCCACTGAGCTGTTTCCCTAGGTCTTTTTCCTCAAATTTTTTAAAATCACCTCCCTCATCATTTCCAAGTAGTGGCTTCACTTTTTATTCAAGAGAAGTATTCCCAAGAGAACCATTACTTGAAAGAATGTTCATAGAACTACCACCCAGGACAAAAAAATAGAACATCGCAACATCCCTCCCACCACTGATGATATCCTTCATCTGCCTTGACTTTTCTAACAGTCTTTTCTTCCGTTTTTGTTTACACCTATTTTCCTTGTTAGCATCCTTAAACAAGTTGTTTTGTTTGTTTGTTTGTTTTAACTGACGTTTGAAATTTGTACGCTTTTTACTTGGAATTGTGACTATCTTCTTTCACTTCACACTGTGAGATTAGTCTATGCTGTTGTAGACAGCTGCAGTTGGTTGTTTTAAACATTTGGCAGTGTGTATAAATGTTATATTTATATAAATAAAACACCGTAAGAAAACCTTAAGAGATACTTTTATTGTTCGTAGTTACAAAACAGTGCTACTGTGAATATTCTTAGTAGTGTATGTAAACACAGGTGTCTCTAGAAATTGCTGGTTTCTGGAGTATGGCACTTTCAATTTGACTAGATGGTACAGTTATTATTATTATTTTTTTTTGGTCTTTTTGAGATAGGGTCTCCCTATAGCCCCAGCTGTCCTGGATTTACTATGGAGACCAGGCTGGCCTCGAACTCACAGAGATCCAAGTGCCTCTGCCTTCCGAGTGCTGGGACTAAAGGCATGTGCCACCACTCCCAGCTGTACAGCTAAATTTTCCTAAGGGCATGTACTAATTTCCACCCTATGTTCAACAGTCCCTATTGCTCCACCTGCAGGCCAATATTTGGCATGACCAGTCTTTATTTTTGGGAAACCAATGAAGTTGAAACTGAATCTCCTAATTTAATTTTCTTGATTGTTAATAATGTGCATATATTCATATGCCTGTTGGACATTGAGATTTTCCATTTTGTGAAGCATTTATTCAAGACATTTGCCATTTTTACCGTTGGAGTTTGTGACTTTTTCAAGTTTATTTTTCAAAGTTATTTGTTCTAACTTCTGTTGTTGCCTTCCCACTTGGTCTCATTTTTTCATTGTCCTTATGGCTTTTTAAAATTATAACTTGTTTGTTAGTCCTTGCTCTTTAAAAGTAAGTGCATTTTGTATTTTCCTCCAAAGAAATCCTTCTCTACTCCAACATCACAAAGCTATTCCTTATATTAACATGGAAACATTTTATAGTTTTGCCTTTCATGTTTAGTTCTTCAGGATGTTTGGAGTTAATTTTTGTGTTAAATGTGAAG